CTGGTCACAGCCTCCTGCCCCACACACCCCTGGTCACAGCCTCCTGCAGCAGCCCCAGCGGGGGGAAGGCTGGGAGAGTTAAACGAGGCATGCAGAGATGTGGCAATAAAATCATCACACGTGAACGTAATCCAGATCAGCAGGACTCACCCTCAGCAGGCTGCAGGCAGGGCAAGGCTGGGCTGCCACAGGCTGTGTCCCTTTTTCATTTTAGGCTGGCTGTCAGTGCCTCCACCTCCTGTAACTTCATCTTCCCCTAGAGATGAGGTGGGGTCTTCAGTCCTGGGCTGCAAAGCTGAGGGGAAAACAAAGAGAAACCCCATTAGTGACTTCAGTGGCTGTCCCTGGCTGGCAGGTCCTGACAGAGCTGGAGCATCCAGGCAGAGGTGTTGGAAAACCCTGACCTGAGTTCAGACCCCCTCAGGACCCTTTCAAAGGGAGCACGAGGCTGCTGCTAAGGTCGATCCCCAGGTCCCATCTTGCAGCAGGACAGGGGGACTGGGGAGGGGACAACACCCGGCAGCACCCGAGGGGGCTGCTGGGCACGGGTTTGTGATCAGACACACGCCCTGTGCCCCGGCCAGGGAGAGCCCGGGGAGGGGCTTCCCCACGGAAGCCAGGGATGGCTGCGTTCCGACAGCATCCTCTCGGATCCTGGCATCCCTGCGCGTGAGGAAAACACCAGAGCCCATCTGTCCTCGGTGGGCACCGTCGCCATGGTAACAGCATCCGCTCCATCCATCCCGGATCTGCGGAGGACGGCGGGGCCGGAGCTCCCTCCCGCACAGGGGTTTCCCTGGCAGCTGCTGCTGCTTTATCAGGCACATCCCTGCTCCCACACCGATCCCATCAATCTGTCTGCCGTGAGGATGTGGAGCCTGGAAACAAAAAATCCCTGTCGCTGGAGAAGGGTACTGAGCAGCTGCCAGGGAAACCTTCCCAAGGGCTCTCCATCACTCCCATATGGTGCCCTCTCCCAGCACCCCCCAACCTCAAGGGCTGTCCCCCAGCAGCTGGACCATATCCTGCCCTCCTCCTTTCACCCCCTGGCTGCTCCTGCAGGTTTCTCCATCCCCTTCCGAAGAGCCACACAGCCCTCACAGCATTCCCATGCCCCGGAGACCAGGCTGAAGGCACAAGGAGGTGCTTCACAGAGGCTTCCATGGCTGCATTCTCTCCTGGATCCCTATGGATTTGCTGCTCTCCCTTGCCCAGGTCTGGGCACCAGCACAGAGAACTGGAGTGGTTCTTCCCAGTTGGGAAAAAACAGGAAAAAACCCGGCTGGTGCAGCCAGTGCTGGGAAAGTAGAGCTGGAAGTGCAGGGAAGGTGGGGAAGCCAAAAAAGATAAGGCATGCCCAGACACAGGGCTCAGGGGGAAATGCTGCCCAGTCCTGGCCCCAAACCTGTGGGAATGGAGAGGACCCCAAAGACAGGGCACACGGCCCATGTACCAACACACAGCACCTTCCAGAACCTTCCACTCCAACCACACCCCCCACACCACCTCCCAGGGCAGCCATGTCCAGGGGGACAAAGTGCCCAGTGTGGACTGGGAGCACAGAGCCAGGGCTCAGCCTTTCCCCACAGCTGCTCCCAGCAGCCAGGAATTAGAAGGACCACCAGCATCCCTCAAAAAGTGGACTTAAAGTAAGAAGCCACCCCAAAATCCCCACCGCCCCTATTACCTATGCAGACCTGGAGAAACCTGATGTTTGCTGCAAGGACTGGAAGAGGTCACACTGGACCCTGCCCCTGTGCCCCACCCTCCCCAGGTGCTTCCCATCTTCACCCCCAATCAGGGCCCCCATTATGGGCATCACCCAGCTGCTCATGGCTGGGGCTGCTCTGCCCACCCAGCTGGACTTTGGTTGCTGCAGTGGAGTGTCCATGGGATGAGGGCTGGAGTGGGGACATCATTCCCAACCAAGGTTGCTTTAGGAGCTGTGAGATCTGCTAGGATCTAGTAAAACCCATCAAGCAAAGAATAGCACCAGGACAAACTAGAACTGGACGCTGAGTCTCACAGCTTGTGACTCATGGGCTCTCAGAGGATATTCCTAAGTGCCCAAGGCTGGTATCTGCCTGTTTTCATACTACTTGAACCAAACTCTATGATTCTGGAGACCACTTTGCTGGGGACAGGGACCTAAAAATATGTGTGTTGTGTCCCCAGGTCTCCCTGCAGTATCTGCAGCCCTGGCAGAGCATCTTCATAGAGCTAAGTATGTATGTCCTCAGTTCCACAGCCTTTCCAGGAGCACAAGGATTGCAGGAACATGAAATACCAAGTTGTCCTGACACTGAAATCTTTGCCATGAAACACGAGGCAACAGGTAAAGGGTTAATAATCCCTCAGGACACTGTTCCTGCCTGGCAGTGCAGCCATGAGCACTGTCCTGACCCAACACAGTGCCCCCTCTCTCCCCAGGAGGGGTCCTGTGTTCCTGGCAATACATACTGCTGCTCCCGGGAGGAGGGGGAAAGCAGGAATTGCTTACAAAGGAGCAGTACCGGAGCCCTGTCCTGCATCTTTCCTCCTAAGAGCAAGAAATCACTGCTCCCACGAGTCCATTCGGCCCTTCCGGCTCTGGTGGGTTTGCTCCAGCAGCACCTGGATGTGCTGTACCCCCACCCCATGGACCTGTTCCCAGGATGGGGAGGTGGGGAGGCAGCTGGGCCAACTGGAGCATCAGCAATAGCAGGGAGCAGCTCTCAGATCCCTGGGGGCTGGAGCGGCCCCAGTCAGCCCTGAGCCTTGCAGAGGAGCCGACAGGGACGGACACCACCCTGGGGCTGCAGCGGGTGGACAGGACACCCGAGAGCCACGGCCACCCCCAGGGCCCCGGCAGGGTGGAGGGGACAGCACGTGTCTCCTCCGGAGGGGCTGTGCCAGACGCGTGGGCGAGCCTGGGGCATTCCCATCAGAGCCGAACAAAGCGGTGTATAAAAACACAAAATAAAAGGGAAGAGGGGGAAAATGACCCTGAAGGGCTCTCTAATTTGCAGCACACTCAGGGAGAGCGGCTTCCCAGGGAGGGGAAGGCGTTCAGACACGTGGCACCGGGAGCTGCTGTTAACGCCTTCCTGCCCGGCACTGCGGGACAGCTCCGGGCTGCTCCCAGTCCCTTCCCGGGGGCAGGGTGGGAGAGCCGGGTCCTGCAGTGCCCAGGCCAAGAGGTCACCCAGCGGAATTCCTACAGCAGGCCCGGCACTTGTTGGGCTACAGCTCCCGTTTTAACCTAGGAAGCTGTTGTGTCTCCTGCACCGAAACAAAAGAGCATCTCCCTCTTCTGGGAGACTTCACTCAATGCCTGTTCTAATCAGGTGCCTCCTAAAACGGGGACTTGAGCAGAACAGTGGCTGCTGTGATTGGGGTCAGCTGGAAGCTGGAGGCAGCTGGGTTGCAATGCTGCTTAAAAGAAAATCAATCTCCTTTCCTGCTGCTGTAAATGGCAGAGCCGTCAGGATTTTCTTCCCTTAATTTGCCATAGTAGATGGCACCATATTCAGCTCCATTAAAATCAGAGCCTAAAGTCAAAGTGGGGCTCAGGCAAAGGTGTGCAGGAATTAGTGAATGTCTGAGGCCTCTGCAAATGACGTGACAAAACCAAGGTCCAGACACTGGTGTTAAAATTCAGCCCCTTTTTTATCGACGGGGAGAAATCACTGAGGGGATGGGTTTGGAGACACCTCACCCATCCAGAGAGCAGGACTGGGGACAATGGGAAGACCTAGCACTGTGCTCTGATCCCAGCATAGCCAGACCCCCAGCTCCCCCTCAGCTTCCCCCATGTGCTGCTGGGGGGTCCCTGGGGAGGGTGGCACTGAGAGCAGGCAGCTCAGAGACAGGGTCATGCCCCCTGGGGCCTCCCAACCAACACCCTGAACAGGGAGAGCATCTGGGACCTCAGGCTTCAGCACTGCTGGTCTGTGCTGAAAAATACATGCTGCTGAGCCATGACCTGGGGCTGGGACATTGGGTGTCCCCTCCTGCAGAAAAGCAGCATTCAGCCAAGGCTGCACCTCTGCAAGCAGGTTGCTCACAACGTGCCTAAGCAGATTGATTTAATTTCTGCAGGTTTCTGGGTGTAGACTTGGGTTAGAAACCAGGGGAGAGTTGGGGGGTGCGAGGGGTGGGCCACAGGCACACACAAAACCTGGGATCATGACAGGAGCATTCCTCTGTGTGGGGAAAGGGAGAAATGCAACCAAGGAACTGCAAGGCTGATGAAAAGCTGCTGCAAAACCACCTCCAGCTCCTGAGGGCAAAACTGCTGCTTTCCCTGTCCTGCTTCTTGTCCCACTGCTGAGGGGAGTTACTGAGCCCAGCTTTAGCTCAGCAGTGGGAAAGGGCCAGCCACATCCCTGCCCACAGGTCACCTCAGCCAGGGATGCAGGGGTGGGATACTGCCTGCAAGGGGACAGTAGTGAATGAGGAGGGAGTTTGTAGCATCAAAGTGCCTCCAGCAAAAAGGGGCTGCTTGTTTATGCCAGTACATCCCAGTTCCTGGGCTTTACCCCTGGTCTGGGACAGAGCATTGGCACTGGGCTCCTGGGGGCCTGGCATGGGCTTTTTCCTGCCCTCTCCTGGGATCCACACGGTGCTGATGTCCCAGCTGAGCCTCTCTGTGGCTCAGGGACGTGGCTGCCACTCACCAGTGCTGGGCAGGGAAAATCATCTCTAAGGGGAAGGATCCTGCCTCATCAGGTGCTGGGATCATGCTGGCACCAGCTCTGGCTCTGGCTCCCTTCCTATGGGAAGCAGAAACTCCTGGTCAGCCTTTCAGCCCAAGCAGGATGCCCAGCACTGTTGAGAAGCCAATCCTGGCCCCTCTCCTCTCCCTCCCTGGGCTCCAGGAATTTGCTTCCATCCTCGTGCCTCCCCTGGGATCTGTACTCCAGTTCTGTATCCCTGTCCCAGGGAGGGACAGGCTGCTGGCAGAGATGGGCTGGACTGGAAAGGTTTGTGCCCAACCCCCCCACATGAGGAAATGAACATTCTGTGCCCTCACCTTCCTCCCCCCTCGCTGTGTCTCCAGTCCCAGGGGAAGGTTTGGGGGCCCCTCAGCCACTCCTGCTCTCTGCAGTCTGCAGGGGGTGGCTGCTGAGCAGCTCAGGTGGGTGACCTGCTGCAGCTCTGGCAGCAGGGAATTCCCAAGGTGTTGGAAAAGTCCTTCAGGGGTATGAGCAGTGGGATGTCACCTCTCTGCCTGCGGGTGGAGGGGCAGCAGTAGGTGACCTTGCCCAGGCTGTGCCAGCCCAACAGCCACACCCTCGTTTGTTTTCACACACTGTGGTTTGGCCATGAACGGGGGCATCACCTCCTGCACACCTTCCATATTCCAAAGGGATCATCTCCCACAAAGTAACAGGAACAGCTCGGGGTTTGCAGCTCATATCCCACTGTCAGAGCAGTGCCTTGGGTGGCAGGTACGAGCTTGGCCCTGAGGCTGGTAGAGTCAAAGCTGTCACTGCTGTCTGGTTTTCTTTACTTTAAATAAAATCTACAATATACTATGATGCATCAATTTCTTTAAAGGGATAGTTCCTAATTTACCAATGACTCCTCTAGCAAGGAGGAAAAAGGTGCGAATCCCTTTTGTTTTGGGGTATTCACAGGAATACCTTGTAGGGTTCCTGCTGCCTCATCTGAGCTCCTCGGCCCTGTGCCCAGGGCCACAAACTCCCTCAGTTTGCAGAGATTATAAAAAAGGACTCAGCCAGGGCATGCACAACCCTATCCTCAGTGTGAGGCTTCCTGAGAACATGAGGGGTGTTGCAGAGTCTCTCTCAGGGTGGTTGTGACTGGAGAACAAGGCTCAGGGTCCTGCCAGGCTGCTGCCCACACAGTGCTCCATGAACCTCACCACCAAACAGCTCAGTGAGGGGGGGAGAAAACCCTCATTTCCAAGAGCTGAGCCTCAGCCTGCTCCTCCCTGCGGCTCTGGCATCACTTCCCTTCCTGTCTAAGGCTGGCTGGTGCAGGGACCAGACAATTCCAGTGCCTGCAGGAAAGCATTGCCAGGAACTGTGTCCAACACCCCGAAATCTCTCACAGGGTCCAATGAGTCTGGGAGCTCCTGCCTCTCTCCTAAAACTGGACAGTGCTCCTGCTTCTCTGGGGGAAAAGGTGAGTGGGGTAGGCAGCCAGTCCAGGACAGTTTCCCAAGCCAAGGCTGAAATGCAACTGGGCAAAGGGAGAAGTAATCCCAAGAGTTGATGATCCTGCCTTTTCCCAGCTCTGAGCCCCCACACCAGGGTCTTCTCCAGGCACTGCAGGGCAGGGGGTGGTGAGGGGGTGGACAAACCACCCTGTTGATGGGCAGTGACTTGGCTGTGGTGCCTGAGGAGTTTTCTCTCAACAGCCGGATCATGAAATCCCAGTGTGGTCTTAGTTCCTCCCAGGAAGACAAGGAGGCCCCAACCCCTGCTAGACCAGCCAAGCCTTTCCAAGTGTGCTTTTCTACACTGGATGGGGCTTCCTCCAGCTCCTCCAGAGAGTGGAGCCAGGGCTTTTCTCTGCCAGGGAAAACCTGCCCTGATCCACAATGGCCTGGAGCAGAGATGTGGCCACAAGTGTTGAAATGTTCTGGGAGGGTAAAGACCAGCCTCCAAGATGTGTCACTGGTTCCCCCAGTACCATGTCTGCCTGGAGGGCCTCATGGATATTGTGTTCCTGTGTTCTGCTCTGCCTTCAGGAAGGGCAGGAGATCCTCCTGACAGGGTCCTGCCCATCCTACTGCAGCTCCTGGCAGTGGGGCTGTGCCTTGAACCCTGCTTGGAGACCAATACCTGCGCATGGGGAGCAAAAGGAAGGTTTCACAGGGAAGTTTAAGAGCTCAAAACTTGGATTTTGTTCTAGTCCAAGCTGAAAGTTTACATTTAAACATTACTTATAATTTAAAAAAAAATAAATTTGATGGGGCAGGACTAGCAACCCATTCCCTCTGTTATAGTAATGGCATGTAAAATAAAAAAGCCTGGCACAGAAATTAATTTTGAAATGTAAAACAATGTTTTAGTGCCTGAACTTCTCTCATGGAAACTCGACAACTGACCAGGCAGGAGTCACTTCCCAGAGAGAGTTTGGACACAGACTCCAAGAGGGCATTGCAGGAGTGAAATGAAAGCTGAGAGCTGAGGCCTTTTTACCTTCCTAAAATACATCAGCTCCTGACCTTGGAATCACCATCCAGCTTAGTCTGAGACCTGGAAACTGCTGCTTCCTTCCTCCCTGCTTTGTCTGCTTCCTGTGGCAGTCCCTGTTCCAGGTTGTTCACATCTGCATCCTGCTCCTTGGGCCCTTCTCCACGGATCACACAGTCAGCCAGAGTTGCCACGTCTGCCATTAACGTGAAGGATTTCGTACACACATCTGCAAAACAACTACCAGATTCCTCCCTTGAACTGTTACAAAGTCAAGTGTAGGCAAAAGTTTTACACTTCTACTGATCAATGGATCAACACAGACTTCAGATGAGAATATGTGAGGTGGTCAACACGCTGCTATAGCTCTGAAGACATCAGGAAAACAGAGACAAAAGTGAGGCAAAGGACTGAAATTCCACCCAAGGGACTTTTCTTCTTTAAACCTCATCTCATGTTGCCTGAAGTTCTCCACTTAAAGCAGACAGCAAGTCAGAGGGATGGGTTTTTCATGTTTTTATTTACTAAGGTTTTTATTGTGTGTTTTATATTGCAAACCCCACCCTAGAACTCTTCCCTCCCTTCCCCCCAAAAGAAAACAAAAATAACAGTAGTAGTAGTAGTAATAATAATAATAATAATAATAATAATAAATAGAGTTCCACCTACTGAGACAAGCCTAGTGTTGACTGGGGTCCAGTCAGAATAACTCAACATTGGCTACTGCACTGCTAAGAACTGGGAAACCAAAGGAGATCCCCGTGAAACACAAAGCAAAGGAGGATGTTCAGCAGTGGTGATGGAACACACGTCTGCCAGAGCCAGCCCTGGGGGTCCTGTGCCCCCCCTGTCTGAGTGTCCACGGGGCTGGTGAATTCAAGTACCAGTGCAGCAGTCACAGGACAGCCATCGAGCAGGGCTTGGCATTGCTGGGCTGGAGACCTTTCCCCCTGCTTTCCCACCCCACAGCCAAACTCAGCTCCCAGCCTCTCGAGATGCTCGTTCTAGGGGCCCTCCAGCACATGGGGGAAAAAGTTTGCTAAACCAAATAGAAAACTGAAAAGGATATTGTGAGTCTTCCTTTTAGGAACTGCCTCATACCTTTGAAAATATGAGAGGGTCTGTGAGTCTGCTTCAATTCCTGTTTCAAGATGAACCTGTACATATTTGGAAAAGCAGGATCTATAGATTATAATTATCACCTGCCAATCAGTCCTACAGGAGGGTCAAAATCGACATGTATTTTAAAACTAGGAGATATATATATATATATATATATAAATGTGTGTGTGTGTGTGTGTGTGTGCTTACATGTGTGCATAAATAGACTACATAGGTGTATAACTATACTATATATATAAAAGCATGTGTGTATATATAGATAGATATATAAAATCTATACAAACACACACACACACACACATGCACCCCTCCCACCACACACACTCACACATATATAGGTGTATGTAGCTAGTAGAAAAAACATTTCTAGAGTTCCCCTGACCCTTTAAGGAAGACCAAAGCTGATTACATCTGAATTCTGAGCCACCAAAGCACGTTGAAGCAGGAGTGCCCAGGAATGCTGCAGCAACATTCGAGATACAGGCACATGTCAAAGAGTTTTGCAAACAATTCAGTATAAAAAACAACTGTCAGCCAGTGTTTTGGGGGTGGGAGGAGGTCAGAGAGGGAGTTTGAGGGACCTATATCATTACTGGGATAAGTTTTTGGCACTGCTGCATGAAGTCCTGCTTTCCCTCTGGGGACCCCCATGATAGCTGGAAACAGAGGGAGGTTGGATGTCTTTCTAACAAGGGTTAGAAAAGTTGAGCACCTGACTCTTACAGTGAGGTGTAGACACCTCTTGGCCTAAGAAAAACTGAAACAGAGAAAGGATCAAAGTAACAGAAAAGGAGAAATTCACTCTAGAGGTAAAGGCTGCATCTTCTCAGTGTGCACCCAGCGGCCCCTCATGCCCTCATCCCACTCTGACTGTCTTAGGGGAGCCCAAAAATTCCAGCTCCAGGTGCCTGCCAGGCCCCAGGTGTGTCCAGTGACGCTGCAGCTGCAGGGCCAGGCCAAAGCCCATCGGGTGCAGCTCTTATTGCTGGTGAAATCAAACGCAGGATTTCGGACCCCCCCGGCAGGGGGGAAGCACAGACCATGGCTGGCCAAATCTCTGGTCTAATCTGGTGTGAGTGGTGAAAACAGAGTTGCAAATCTGGAGGATTCTTGGCTGGGCACCAGAACTACTCTGGGTGCCTCAAAGCTCAAACTCCTCTAGGCTGAGGAGGAGGAGGGCAGGGGTGACTGCACCCCACTGCTCAGTCCTTTTCTAGTTCTCTTCAAAGCAGTCAGCCCATGGACACTGAGACAGTAACGTGACAGAGGCAAGGTTCAAGTGCTTTCCTTCTCCATCCCTCCCCTGGCTTTGCACACACACTTTCCAAACCACGGAGAGGCTGAAGTTTGGGCCTTTGTGCCAGCTGAGGTCACTGCCTGGTGTGCTGGCAGAGCCAAGATTTTTCCCACTGCCCACATCCATGACAAAAATACAGAGGGGATAATCACTGCCCTCCTTGTGACCTACAAGAGACTGCTCCTTGTTCCCATCAGAGCATCAGTCCACCTGCTGGTCACCTTCATCTTCTTCAAGTGGAGTCCAAACCAAAACTTGGCCCTTGGGAAATCCCTAGAGGGGTCTGGAATAGTGAAATTCCCCCCTCTTCTCGCTTGCTCTGCAATCTGAACACAGGAGGGAACATGGGAGGAAGGGACACCTTCTGGTGCTCACAGTGGGCCATCCATGACCCCCAGAACCAGCTGCTGCGGACCAGGGTCACAGCTGAGGCCAACCAGGGCTGTCCTAAAACACCAGCTACAGACCTGACCTGATGTCACCTCCTACAGCCCATGTCAACCTCGGATCTTTGTCTCAACAGGAAAACCTTTTTTTGGTGGCTTCTATGGCTGATCATTCACATGTTCCAGCTCAGGCACACGCCTCGCCTGTGCGTTACCTCGTTGGATTAAATTTGCTCATATCCTTTTGTTCCATGTATTAAAATATTCTATAAAATCAAGTGACCAAAAATCTATAGCTCTAAGAATACCTGGTTATCTTCTTTTTTGTTGTTGTTGTTGTTTTTCATGTGTTTTTCTTTGTTTCTAAGCACAGTTAAACCTAAACAAACGAAATGGAGAAAACAAAGCGGGTGCGGGGTGGGAGAGAAGGAAAGGGAAAAAAAAAATGCTTCATGAACTAATCAGGAACTGAACTGCAGGGCTGACATAACCAGCTCTCGGGAGGAGTCCTCACAAATTGGAGGGCAGTTTGGATCTGACGGGCTCCAGATCCCCTGTGAGCACTATGGATTCTTTGCGCCCACCAGCAGTCAGAGGAGCAGCGCCGGCCCCGAACACCAGCGGGTGTGGCAAAGACCCTGAGGACATCTGCCGCGGCAAAGTCACACGCCCGGGGATCGAGCTACAAGGCTTCCCCAGAAGTCCAGTCCCTCCTCCAGGAAAAGGAGAGAAGCTGGAAACAGATTCTCTAGAGGAATGAGGAGAACTGTGGCCCAGTGTCTGCGCCAGCTCCTGGGGCAGAGATGGCTGGGAAGCAGAGATCAGCTTGATGTCCTGGTTGAGCCGTCCCGGCGGCACCGGCACTGGCGCCGCGGCCTTGGCCTGCAGGATCTGCGGAGGGGGGCTGGCGGGCTGGGGCAGCAGCAGCGAGCCGTGAGAGCCTGTGGGCCCGGCAGGGCCACTCTGGAAAGTTCTTGTAGCCACTGGGCTCTGACTGGGAGGACTAAGGCCAGAAGGGGTGTAAGAGGGAGAGGCGACACCGGACTGTTGTAGTGGAGACACGGAGGCAAAGGGAGGCCGTTCTTGGTGGAGCTGGGCTATCGTTCCAGTTAAAGATCCTAATGCACTTGGATGTGTTTGGCACAGGCCTGAGGACGGCCCACCTGAGGCCTGTGCCAGTTGGCTTAGGCTGGAGGATGGAGAGTTGGAAGAAGGAGGGGGTTGGAAGTGATTCATTCCCCCCAAAGTCCCACTGCCCGAGAGCTGCTGTAACTGTCCCCCCTGCAGTGGTCTGGTGGTTGGCTGGAACTGGTTGAGAAGACTGGGGGGTGAGTTTGATGAGAGCTGGGTGAGGGACGTTGATGGGGAGCTGGTTGTGGCTTGCTGGAAGTGCCCAAATCCACTGCTGGAAAGGGCTGGCTGCTGCTGCTGCTGCTGCTGCTGCTGTTGCTGCTGTTGCTGCTGCTGTTGCTGTTGTTGCTGCTGCTGCTGCTGCTGCACCGGCTGAGCTGCACCTAAGGGTGATCCAGAAGGTGCGTTTTGGAACTGGCTCAGTCCCACCGAGGAGGTGCTGCTCAAACCCGGCTGGCTTGAGCCACCTGGAGGGGATCCCACCTGGAACTGGCCTAAGCCGGCGGCAGCTGAGAACCCTGCGAGCTGCTGGATGTGGAAGGAAGAGGACGAGGGGGTTTCTGCTCCGGGTGTGTGCAGCTGGGATGGAGTACTGGAGGGAGAGCCTACGGCAGAGGGGCCGGTTGATGGGATTAGGGATTGAAATCTTTTCAGCTGCCTGGGAGTCTGGTTGGATTGTTGCCCCAGGGAGCCCAGGACAGACACAGGTGGACGGAAGATGGCTGTGGGGAGCCGGGGGTGGTGGGTCAGGGCGATGGCCACAGATGTGGTGGCTGCTGCAGCCTGGAGGGGGGCCTGGATCAGTGGGGTCCAGATGACCGGGGTGGGTGTGGAGGCGGCGGCGGCGGCAGCCTGGACATTGTGAGCACAGTGAGCCATCTCCCTGTCGTGCTGCACGATCTGCTGGATGATCTCATTCTCCTGGTAGTTGAAAACACCCGAATTCAGGTCATGCTGGACTTTATGCAGCAGAATGGAATTCTTCTTGCCTGTAGAGAAAGTGAAGAGAGAAAGAGTCATTCTGGGATGTCAAGAGAAAGTGAAGAGAGAAAGAGTCATTCTGGGATGTCAAAGCATGGGAGGCTTCCTCAAAGCTTCCTGCCAGACTTCCTTCGAATTGTTGGCATTGCCTCCCCTCCACTGTCCTCATGGGATCTGTGCATAGTCTCTCTGCTCCAGCAACAAGATGACAAACATCACATCTTCTGCTTTTGTGGTATGAATAACCTCAAGATCCCATCAAACTGAGCCCAACAGGACACATATCCCTAGTTAGACAGTAAAGCCACTTTTGATAAGTGTGGTAGACTGGTCGCAAAGCTTATGGATCTGGAAGAGTCCTATCTTGCACCTCACAATCTAAGCTTCCATTAAAAAAAGGAGAATAAATCCTCAAAAATGTAAGTCCAGTGAAGTCTTCAGTTACTCTCCTTCAGTTACACCCTTTTCTCATCTGTCTCATGTGACTTGTTTACTCCAGAGTCAAATATGTGGATTTAGTTGCAAGGAAATTTCTCTGTGAACAAGGGACAGAAGGACTTGATGATCTTGGAGGTCTTTTCCAACCTTAATGATTCTGTGATTCTCTTCTATGACTTTCTGTGCTGGAAAAGCTCAGCTGGCCCAGGTATGACCCTCAGACATCCTGCAGCTCTCATCCTGCCTGGCCATGCCCTTCTAGTCCCAGCTTTAGGGAAACTGCAGACCAGAAACGTCATGTTCCAGCTGGCCTGTCCAGCCTGCAGCAAAGCATTAACTCAGCGCTTTGCCTTTGCAATGGGCTGGAAAATGTGGTGGAATGAGTTCGTCTGGCCTGGGAGTGCACCTGGCACTGAAGGGATGCACTCCTGGCCTGAAGGACAGAACCAGTCAGGCTCTGGGGAACCATTCAGGGCTATGTGGTAGGAAGAACACGCTGAGGGTTTTTCCTTTCTTTTACCTTCTAAAATCAAGCATTTATGACTTTATAAAGGATGAGGTGTGGCCCTGGGTGCTTGCAGTGGGTTGAGCTGCACTGAGACGCTGCCAGAGTTCTGACCCTGGAGCTGAACTGGGACGTGTCTGTTGTGGGTGTTGGGATGGGATGCTTAATGCTTTTGTGTTTCACCCACTGCCTACCAAAAAAAAAACCAAAAAAAGAACCGCAGAAAGGCTTTCTTTTCTCATTTCAGAGCAAGACATCAGCCTGGGAAGGACATGGTCCTGGAGGCAAACAGGGTTCTGCGCTGCTAAAGTCGTTCCAAGGGCTGGAGAGCTTGTCTGCACTGGAAGTGCATGTGTAGGATATTATATAATGGCTGTTTCACTGTATGCTGCACTGGAATAACACTGGATACTCCTATACAGACAGATCCTGCTTCTACCCACAGCCAGGCACACCAGAGAGAGCATGAATGTCACCTTTAAACTGCATTTTGGTAGTGAAAGGGAGGGAACGGTGCAGAGGGTCTCGCTGCACACACACACACACACACACAGTTACTTCCACCTGGGTTTTACTAGAATCACATACAAACAGGCTCACAAAGTGCTGCTCAAACAGAAAGAGAGCATGGAGAGAAGATAACCTGCCTCACTACAACTGGCAGGTAAGGGAGAGCGTGACCAGCACTGCTGAGCTAAGGAGGGGCTCAGGCTGCAGGTTTGTAATCACTCCCTTTCTGGAGCTGAAGGTACAAATCCCAGCATGTGGAATCTGTAGATCTTGCACCACTGCAAGGTCAGGATGTGAGTGGGAGACATCATGCTGAGCTCAAAGCTAAAAAGGTGCCTTGCTGCATTTGCTGTCCTGATACTGGACAAATCCAGGCTGGGGAGGAACGGCCGGGGCAGGGGAAGGAGGAACAGCTCTTGAAAGGCTCAGTAGCAGCCACTGCTCTGTGTTTCCATCATTGCATCTCATTCCACTCTTTTAATTCCATGTCACCTGGCTTTGGCTCCTGATTTGCTCCGTGTGCTTGACTAGGCCTGGAATTCCCAGCGCTGCCCTGGATTCCGATGGAAAGCACAGTGATGTCATCAGAGCTCCCGGATGGGAACTGGTGTTCCCATGGCCTGAGCTCCTGACTACACACAGGGAGCTCAACAGACTCTGGTTTCCTTGGCAGGGCACTGAACAGAGAACATGCTAATGTTTTCCAAAGGTGCCTAATATTCACCGGAAATGGGCCGATCAAAGCTCCTTAACTTTGTGTCAAATCCATAAAGTAATACCAGTAAAATACTTGGAATGATTATTTTTGTTAGTTTTTAAAACAGAACACTTCATTTTGCCTTTGAAATTACATTACACTTAACTGTTTTCCTGAGCCCAGCTTGTATCTATTAACTGTTTCATTAGATCAAATTTTTCTCTTCTGTTTTGCCAAGAAAATATCAAATTTCTCCTCCAGAACACTGTAGAAAATTACTGAAAATGTTCTCTCAGCTATTGAAGGGGAGAGGAATTTTTCAAAATCATTTTTCCAAACTATAATTGGTTGGCAAACTGAAAAATTAATTGGTTTCACCATTCTAATGAATTGCATCATTTACATGATGTTTCCACACACCAATATAAGTCCTATTAGTTGCTTCTGGAGAAAATCCTCCTTCCAAGCGGCACCAGATGAGAGCAGGCACAGAGCAGAGTCCTGGTGGGACAAATACATTTCCCTGGCAGGTCTGACTAAGGACCTGCATGAGACATAACCCAGCAGCGGAACAAGGGAGTGGGAGTAACTTTGCCTGGGCCAGTGGTTCCGAGATTGGTTCTGAGATTATTCCTCCTCCTAATCTTATCTATGAAGCTGCTTCAGTTACAAATTCACTTCCCTGCTCTGGATTTGTTGTCCCAGCCCCTGCCCAAAGGGAGAGCAGAGAACAGCACTGAGAGGGCTGATGGCTGATGAGTTTGCTCTGTGTAACCCTCGCTGAAATGAGGTTCTGCAGCTCCCAGCTCTGCTCAGCCACCCGCAGGGAGCCCTGTGTTCTTGCTAAACCAGGGAGAAGCTTCATCAGGAGAGAGGAAAAGAGACTCTGTTCCCTTTCAATCTAATCAGGGAGGCTCTGTGTGACAGTTTGTCCTTCTGTGTTGTTTATCCCGCAGAAATTACAGTGCTGAGCAGAGTTTAAGGGACAGAGATAAACAATCCACCCAAATCTCACCCCAAAAGCACTACACAAACCCACCAGGATGGCCCAGAGCTGGCAGAGGAACCACCTGCAACCACCCCATGCACCACCTCCCCTCCCTTGCTTTAGAACTCCCTCTGGGGTCTAAAACCTCCCTGTTTTCCTCACTGCAACAACGAGCTAAATATAGGGGGAAAGGAAGATATTTAGAGCCTTGAGGATGTTCACAGCAAAGCTACTGGTGCTTTGAAGTGGAGTGGGGTATGTAAAATTATGGAAACGAAGCAAACAGATGTTGCTCCCTTAATTAAGAATTGCAAAGTCAGATTTTCCTCAACTGTAGATAGCACACAAAAGAACAGGGAGAAAGGCTCATGTGATTTCATAAAAGGAGCCAGCACTCAACAATAATTCTTCTATCAAATAATCAAAATTAGCTTTCTGTTGTTAAAATTCTGCACAGACACAGGGGAAATTAGCTGTGACTTTTTGTTCAGTTTTCTTTTCAGCTCTCTCTAAGCCCACTGGCTGCAGTTTAAGAATTCAGGTCACTAAATTGCTTTCTGAATTTGCATGTATTTGAAATAATCTCACTTTATTAGGCTGCCTTATGCCCTAGCCTGCTGTCAGAGTGGCTGTTCCCACCACACGGTTACTTCTTTCAGGTCTTCACTCATTATTCATAGGCCTCGTCCTAAATGGTTGCAGCACATCCCAGCTTTGCAGGAGGTCTCTGCCCTCCCTTCCTTGGGTCACTGGTGTCCTGTGGGAATTCAGCCTGCTGCCACCATCCCCAGAGGGGCATCACAGAAAAACCTGGACACGGTGACTGGCACTTTGCCACGGCTGCTCCCCTGCCCCAGGGAGACTCCTCTGCACTGGGACTGTCCTGGCTGGGAGGTCTCGCTGCTCCAGCTCCTGCTGCTGCCTTAGAGTCCATGTAAACAGGGTAATCAGCTGGAACAGGGAACTCAGAATAATTCTTAACTCCCAGTCCTTCCCCGTCCCAGCCTCACCTCTCAGTGAGTGCACTGAACTGCACTTACTGTTGTGGGAAGGTTTCTGCCTGGAATTTAAGGAGCTCCTGGAAAAGAGCTCAGCAAAGCCAGCTGGATCAACCCTAGGAGCATACCCAGAGGAGTTCAGAACACGTAAACCTGCTCTGGAAACTGCTGCAGATTAACTTCCCTGAGAGCCATGTAAATCCATGGCACAGGGGGTGTGTGAGCTCTTCCACACCCAGGGCAGCAGCCTCTGCATCCCCCACCTCTGCTTCCCTCTTGCTAAAGCTGCATCCTCTGAACTTGGATGGTACATTTTAAATGGACAATTCCCTATCTTTCCAAGTGGAAGTCTTCCCTCCCAGTACAGCTCAGGCCTGCCACTGATTGCTTCTCCTCTTCCATAAACCAAACAGGTATTTGCCAAAATATGTGGTATTTCTTTTAACAGACAGAATGCAGCCAAAACTGCTGCAGGTCAGATGACACACAGTGAATAATATTATCCAGTGAATCTCATCACAGTCAAACAGAATTCAAAATAAACAGAACTCTTCCCTCCCACTCTTCACATTTATGCCCATCATACAGAGCTTTGCAGAGAAATAAACTGAATATGCAGAGCTGGGTAGAATGTGAATATCCATGAGGGGAGAAGAGCTGTGTCATTCTGGAGGGGCTGTGGTGCCTGTGGTGCCTGAGGCAGTGTCCTGGCTGTTACTTATCACTGGAGACTGAAGCCAAAGAGTTCTCCTCAAGTGGCACAAATGCCAAAGCTCCTGTACTCAATCTCAGTGCCCTGCTGGAGCTGACAGCTGTGACAGGGACGCACTCTGGAAGACTCTGGACACTCTGGCACTGGTTTTCTGTCAGTTAGGTGCTTTGCAGTGTGGGTGGTTGCAGAGAGCTGCTGGAGTGCCTTCCAGGCAGGAAACGTCCCCTGAGACTAGAGGTGTCATTGGTAACCAGGTCCTACTCCATGTAATTAAAAAGAGGCTTGAAAATTATTTACAAAGGTGTTGGAATGGTAAAATGTTATCTGAGCAGATGTTTTATTTCAATGCAGGTAGCAAAGATCAAAGTTATTGATGAAGTCAAAGACAGGTCTCCTGAGATCTCATCACCACTCCCAACTGTTCCTTCTCTTGGGGTGTCTTGGGCTTTGTTTTCCTTTTGGAGCTGCATGAGAAATGGCACTTCATATTCAGGTGAACGGGGGTGCCAGTTCACCTTAATTAAGCCGAAGTAATTTACATTCCCTCGTGGCTGGTGAGTTACTGATACCTTTCCTGAGGCTAAACAGAAAATACTCTGAGTCTGGGCCTTCGCTTCCAAAAAAAAAGAAATTCAACTGTTTAGTTCCTGCTTAAGTCGAAGCTCACACATTCTCCCACTGCATACCTGGGCCACAGGAACTTTTATCCTTGCACTACCTGTGCCTGTATTAGCAGCCTCAAAAAAGAACTGTGTATGTATATATATATATACACACACATATATATGTGTATAAATAATCCTGCTCCTCTCACATGTGCAGCTCTTTGGGGGTTACTCACCTGTGTGCAGTAAACAGATCTGGCACTTGAGTGTGGATACACTGTAAAACTGATGCTAACAACACCTTGTTTTATCCATCCACATTTCAGCCCCTTTCATTCCTTCACGATCTCGCCCAACCCCTGTCCCAAGGGAGCAGCTGTGAAACATTCCCAGCTCCACCTTTTAGCATTATTTTCCCTGCAGAAGTGATGAGGAACCGAGGCACGGAGCAAAGGCAGGACAAGGACAAACAGGGAATCTGTGGCAGAGCTTGGCAGCGATCCCAGCTCCTCTCATCCCCAGCTCACCTCCCCTCACACGGGCCAGCCCAGCCTCGAGCAGCAGATCCCAGAGGATTAGTCAGGATTGGACAAGCAGGGCTGCAAACCCAACAGGACTGCAACTGCAGAAGTGGGATCATGAGCTGGCAGTCAAAAAGTTTGGGAACAGCTATTTTTGTGGCTTGTTTATGTGACAAAGCTTTTAAAATTTCTACCACTCTAGTATCTTGAACAGAACACTCTCATACTGCATAATACCATAAATTATATTTAGAGACTGGAATTGTGTTGTCTTGGCTTTCCTTTGTTTTTTTAGCATCTGCAATGCCTGGAGGAAACACGAGGCATCTTTAATCCTGAGTTAACTGGCATCCTTGTATCAAAACATATGCAAGTGGCATTCAAAATATATGCATTCCAAAGTGGAAAAAAAATTCCTGATGAAAATGAAAAAACACCTTCCTCTGGCTTGAGGGATGCTTTCAGCTCTCACCAGTGACCTTGATAGGGATGGTGAGAACCTAATGACAGGCATTTATGGTACTTATTACAGCACATTGAACAGTGGAAAATAATTGTCCCCCGATATCTTGTGAACGCATCAGTGAACTTTGATTTGACAATACTCACGGCCCGTGTTGGATTTACTTTCAATGAACATTTAAGTGGTTGTGTTTTACAAGTGCAAATACTTGTGAAAATCTAATTTTAAGCTTCAGTGGTCACTGAAAGCCAGTTTCAAAGGCAGTCAGGAACAGAATGATGCGACTTACGTAAGGGAGGCATCACAAACTGGGACGATTCACAAACACTGTCAGACAAAGACTTACTCACTGGAGAAATCACAGAATCATTTCAACACACAAATGCTATAGAGAATTTTACAGCTTGGTCAAGAAGAAGAAAGGGAGGCTGATTTAATCAGTGATAAAATGATTATTAATGAGTGATCAGCTTAATTTCTCTGAGTGTAAATCTTCCGACCCTGAGCCTGTGGAGTGTTAAGTGTGATATTGTGCAGGTTGAGGAGTTTTTAGAGTCTGAAGTTACTGAGACTTAAGCAGGGCCACAGATCTTTGCAGAATCCCAGCCTCAGTCAATTCCTGCAGACTAATCCCTCCCAGTCTTTGAAGAGCTCTGCAAGTACAAACACCTGGGGAGCTCCTTCCCCAGCCATGCAAGGCACAGGCAGGATGCCAATATCAATTCCCATGACCAGCAAAGGTTAGAGGACACACCAACACAGAGGGGCTGCAGGAAGCACAGCCCCTCTCCTCCCCTTTGCCCACCCACAGGCTTCCAAACTGCTTTTGCCCTGCTAAGGGAATACCTCATCCCGCCTCCAGTCAACCAGCCCTGCTCCTGGTGCTGCAAGGGATGAGGCCTCACCTGCTCGTCCTCCTACCTCAACAAGCTTAGACCATGCTTTCCATACCCTCCAACAGCAGGTAATCCCATAAACATTGGAGTGAGATCTTCCTCCCTGCTCTCTCAATTCCTCACTGCACAGGGGGAATATTGGATGGATCTTATCCTGGTACCAGAATAGTGACAGAGCTCTCTGAGCCACTTCATGTGCTCAATGGGGCTTGGGCTCCCCAAGGACATGCTGTCACCCGGGCAGAAGGGAGTCAGTGGATTGCACCACTGACTTGGAAAGAGGCTCCCATTTGCTTCCGACTTGTGTACAGCTCCTGAGCAGAACGTGGCAGGAACCAAAAATATGGTCCCAATTCTGTTCATATCTGGCTTTCAAAAACTGCTGTTCCTTGACTTCAGCCCTCCAAAATGATCCCTCCACTTCCAGTGAGTCTCAGCAGATGCAAGAACTTTGGATTCCTTCAAAGGTCCATGCTGTTACTCAGCTACTGCACTGCTCTGTCTGCAAGGTGCTCGTTCCAGGGGAAGTGAAGAAATGCCTTATTTATAAAGACAGGGATTTCCATTGGATCTGCCAGTTTCAGTAAGGTGCACAGAACTCCCTTAGGCTCCTTGGGGCAATTCCAGCTAAAGAGTGCTGGGCACCACGGAGTTGGAAAGGGTTATGGAGATGCTATTTTGCAATAGTTGAGGTGTAAGGTTGAGAGAATAGAAAACAACCGAGTTTGATTGCCAGGGAAACAAGGATAGCAGTAGGATTTTCAGTGGCATAGGGACTGATGTTGTTTCAGGTCAGCAGAATGGCAAAAGGAAGGGGGGCAATGTCAGGGCTCTGCACCAAAGGGCCTGTTATTCCAGTTGCTCTGTGTCACCTTCTGACCTTATGTTGACATTTTGCAGCTGCCTGTGGAACGGAATTTCTCCTTGGGGAAGAAGCATGTGAGGTTCTTCAAGCTGTTTCAGAATTGTCCATGAATTTCATGGAAGTTACGTGTGCAGCAGGCACAGAGCAAAAGGCAAGAAGCACAGGGTGCCCTGGCCACCTGTATCCACAGTCCCAGAGAGCATCAGGCTGGGAAGCTGAGCAGCACTGACCACCCAGACCAGGAGAACCTGAGATAAAGCCGAGCTGGCCCATCCCTGGATGTGCCTGACATTACATTTTCTCCGTGCTTTTACTGTCTAATTTAAATAACCCAAGTGATGGGCTTATTGCCACTTACACCAGGGCCTCATTAGCGGGGGCTTTGCCAAATTACATCTTTAGCTCAGAACCTTTTCCTCAGGGGTCACACTTTCTGATTTGCAGCAGGTAATGAGATGCACTGAATAAAATGTTCCTGGCAGGAAAAGCCCCAGAGGCACTGCACCCCTTGCTGGGATGCCAGGTTATTCCCTACCCCCCTCACCCCATTATCCTCCTCACCTTCTGCATTGTACTCAGACCTCCACTGACCTTTTCCATTCAAAAAGCAGAGAGATGGATAATAAGAGATGCATAATAGGCTAAAGAAGTTAGACTGGGAGTCCAAAATACTCAGTCCTCAGCTCTGCAGCCCTCTTGCATGACCTTGCATAAGTCACTTAATCTCTCTGTGTTAAATGCCTCTGGTTGTGACCAAGGAATTTTATCCTGGTCTCCTGTAGTTACACAGGATCTTTTCAGCACAGGTTATGTCTCCCACAGGACGGAGAGCATCCTGGGATGGGTCACTATGAGCTGTAACAATCACAGAATCACAGAGTGGTCTGGGTTTAGGAAGAACCTTAAAGCTCATCCAGTCCCACCCCTGCCATGGGCAGGGACACCTTCCACTAGCCCAGGTTGCTCCAAGCCCCGTCCAACCTGGCCTTGGACACTTCCAGGAACTGGGCAGCCGCAGCTTCTCTGGGCAACCTGTGCCAGGGCCTCTTCACCCTGACAGGGAAGAATTTCTTCCTGATACCTAATCTAAACTTACCCTCAGTAGGTTTAGATTATAGGGCTCCTTGAGGGACCCGAAGTCAGACAGGGAGAGACAGGCTGGGATCTCCTGCAGTTCACAACTCAGCAAAGGAACTAAGGACCGAGCCTGGAGGTAGGTTGCCAAGGCAGCAGGTACAGAAGGAGACTCTCACACCTCTACTTACCAATTCTGTCCAGCCTGTCCAGAGCCACGGTTTCAAAAGCCCTGCGCATCATGGGGTACTCCTCCAGCACCTCGTTGAAGTTGTCCACGGACAGGGAGTACAGGCGGCAGTAGGTGTCGGCTCGCACGCTGGCCGTGCGCCGGCCCCGCGTCAGCAGGCAGATCTCTGCAAGGACACAGCAGGCTGGCACAGGGGACAGGGGACAGGCACACCCCCTGCACTGACCCTCACACCCAGCCTCCTCTCCAGCTGGGCTCCACCTGCTCCCCCACCGAAAACACGGCCAGTGCTAATACCCTGCCTGTGCACCAACATTTAAAAATACCAGGGGCTCCGTCGTGGCAGCTGCCACACACAGCTGCACCTCGGGGATTCTGCTGATCTAATTAGCCAGGCAAGTTTTGTTATGGTGGATTATCAAAGATACCATTTGTGCATTCCTACTGGAGGAGCTGTCTTTCTCCAGCTCCTCGTGGGCGCTGGGAGCACAAGGTCAAGCCGTGCTCTCATTGAAGCTGATTCTCTCTAAATTTGTAGTAAAGGCTCTCTGCTGACATGTGCTTTTGGTGCCTGGGTGTAATTTTGATCCCCACACCTGGAACATTTGTCTTTTCACAGTTTTCAAAGATTTTTGGGGATATACCACATGCTTACAGACTGTCAGGGAGAGCCACATTAATGGCACCTACCAACTCACGGTGTATTTACACTGCAGTCATCCCCTCCTTGGAGGATGCTCAGCTCTTACAGAACAGAAAGCCCTTGATTCAACCACAGCTCCTGGAACACTCAACAGAGAGCTCCCAAATCCTGCTTTTCCACTGCTTACATAGAGTATGGGCAGCTAAGACAGGCACTTCAAGACAGCTGGTGTGACCTAAAGCCTGACAGTGCTCTGCTCTCTGCGTATGTTGGGTGTCAATCCACCAGCATCATTCCTTGGATTCATGCTAAGTCTACCCCAAAGAGTTGTGTGTATGGTATCTACAACACAGGGAATGTCATGGGCAATTTCAATCCAATCTGTCAGTCAGGGTATCTCTGTAACTCCAAATCCCAGCTTGCAGACATGAAAAATCCTTGTACTCCAGGGAGGTGCTGAGAGGTTGTTCCATTGGAACTAAGAGTAACAGGAGTGTGGGCAATGAATGACAGGGACTTTCTAGAGAAAAGGCCTCACAGAAGGGAAGGCAGGTTTCATCCTCCTCCTCTCGGCAGATCATTAATGGTGCTTGTACCACAACATTCATCTACCAGAGGACTGCCTGTCTCAGGCTGTATGAGCTCTCTATGGGGCTCTGACAGGAGAGGGGGCTTTGTGTTACCCATAAGAGCAATATCCTAAATCTTTTCTGACCTCATGCTAGTCCCAGAACTCTGCTGCTGACACATTTTGCCTGCCTGCTGACCTTCCTGACATTTTGCTGAGCCACAGGCTGGGGAAATGATGGACAGTGTTTTTTCCTCCATGTCTATCCAGCACTTCGAGTGGTAGATGCCAGACAGCAGGACTAGGCAATACTATAAATGTGCCTGGAGATTTGAGAATGGGCCATTTTTTACCTTTAGGTTCTCAGCTTCACTGATTGTCAGTATTTGGGACCTGTAAGAACAAAGCTCCCTTCTCTGTTTTGTTATTTATTATCTGGACTCCTGCAGTACCCACGAGCCCCAGTCACCTCCCACTGCACCATCTCCTCTATGGGAAGCTGCGGGGCAGGTGAGATGAACAGAGATGGAGGAGGAGGTGCCTGGGGTGTCAGTCCCATGCGGTGCCATCCCTGTGTGTCCAGGACAATTTAGGGAATGTATGAGCATAGCAATGGGTGCTGTACCTCCAAAGTAGGATCCGTCGGCCAGCTTGGTCTCCTTGTTGCCCTTGGTGAGGACGCTGACCACGCCGTGCTGGATGAAGTACATCTTCTTGCCGATGGTGCCCTCCCGGATGATGTAGTCACCCGGCTGGAACACCTCGAACCGCAGCTTGGTCAGCATGGACGTCACAAAGTTGGGGTCTGCGTTGGCAAACAGGGGCATGGAGGCCACCAGCTTCCGGCAGTTGAAGTTGATGATTTCCTGACCACGGTGTGATGCAAACGAGAGAGAGGTGGAGGGAGAGGGAGGGGGGAGAAGAGATGGGACAGGGAGCAGAAAAGACACACGTGTTTAGTCAACATCTAATGACCTATGGACATCCCCTACTTGATCTGTGCATTACAAAGTGGGAAGAAAAATCCCTTGGTGTGGCTCCCCCGGTGCAGGCTGGAACAGGCTCTGGATGCTGGTGAGCTGGAGCTGACAGCCCGACATCATGCTCCACTGCCTTGATTCCTATGCTTCCTCTCTGAGCAGGGACAGCACTCTCAACCTCCCAAACACACACAGTGTTCTTCTTTCTGCAGGAAACCTTGGACTGTGAGAGCTGCAGAGCACTGGTGAAATGCTCTTTGAAACAGCCCAGGGCTCCTCTCTGGGAAGATGTCATAACTCACCTTGGCAGCCCCACGTTCTCTGCTGCCCTTGCTTGTCAGTGAGATATTAAACTGCACAAATGTGCTGAGGCATTGGGAGAAAGAATTATCCTGTGCAGACTGGGACAGTGTCAGGAGAGGGGAGGGAGAGGAGCCACCAGTCACTGGGGCACGGGCTGGATCATCAGCCTTGGCTGAAGAAATCCCAGCTCAGCTGTTCAGCTGTCACACAGCAGACGGGCTGTGTCTCTCCTGTGGCTCGGTGTCACTCGGGGGGTGTGACAGCACAGGAGCTGCTCTGTGTGTGTCAGCTCAGACCTAGAGAGTGGCAGAAAGTGATACTGAGTAAATCACCTCAGCACAGCACTCCCCAGCCACACAGGGAAGGAGCATATGGATGACTGGAGCAGGAAGAGATCTGGGGAAGCATCTGTCACCTCCTCACTGGGAGTTTCAGAGGGTTGCCCTTTGAGACTTTGGCAAAACTACTTCTGAAACATGGCTGGCATTTCCTCAGCTCTTCTCTCTCCCATGGAGGTACATTACAGGGGGAGGAATACAGAAGAAAGACCCCTCCTCGAACTTGTGGGTGACATATTGCTGACATTCCAGGGAGAACCTGCATTGCCAGGCTTCAGCTGGGGAGGGGGGCTTCTGTAAAGACTTCTTTGATTTGTGGGCCCTGCTAGGAGGCTCCTCCTTCCTTTGCCTCTGCCTGCTGTCCCAGCTGGTAGATGGGGCACAGACGAGACCAGCACACCATGCAGAGTTTTAGATAAACACACGAGGTGGGAGTTTGCTGAGACACTGCACCAGGAGCTGCACAGCTGCCCAGGGTGACAGGAAATGCAATGCCCACTCCCTGCCCTCCTCACCTCTCGCAGGGGCTCGCTCAGCTCCCCCAGGATGCTCTCCTCATCAAACATCTTCCCCTGGTACCGGTGCTCATAGTAGTCGTGGATGCGCTGCCGCATGTCTGCCGGGAGCTTGTGGAAGGACATGTACTGCTCCACCTGTTTGTACTGTGCAGGGAGACAGCAAGGGCAGGAATTACCAGGACATGCAACAGATGGTCCCTGCTCATGGACCACCCCCACATCTGCTCCCTTCACACCAAGCCAGCCCCAGGAAGGTAAATCTGATGGAGGAGAGAGCAACTGTCTGACTCCAAGGGGAGTTTGCAGGCTTGGCTGTCATATTCCTCAAATGACTGCCCCACGTTTTAACTTTTAAACTTATCCTCAGCCAGTTACCCTGTGGAGACAACTCCTCACTGCCTGGGTGTGCAGCAGCCCACGTGCCTGTCCTGCCCTGGGAGCAGAGCTGAGTAAGGAGTGCTCAGCTGGGAATCTCCTCTGAGGAAACAGTGCTGAGCAAAGACTGTCCAGGATGAGAGAAAGGAAAGCACAACGTGCCCCCCACAGCAGGTTTCCCATGGCACACGGCAGAGTGGTGGCCAGGGTGTGACCTGGCAGGGACGTGTAGCACCTCGGGGCCTCACTGAGCACAGGACTCACTGTACCAGGGGCCACAGGAAGCAGAGAACATCTGCCCTTGGGTGTGCAGTCACAAACTGAAGGACACACAGAGGACCCAAATCTGAGTTACTTGTCTGAAGCTGCAGTACCCATGACCTGCTGTTCCTCCCTCTGTCTGCCCTGCCATGATGGCACCTTTGCTTTCCCTAGGGCTGCACAGGTCCTGATTTTCCTCCCCTTTCCTGGCTCCTGTTGCCCCATTCACTCACTCTGTCTAACCCATCCACATTTCTTCCTAATGGTTCGTGTTTCCATTGTGTTAGAGGGGAATACAAGGACATGCTCTGACTGATGCCAGAGTGGGTTTGGGGGATGAATAGTGTTTTCTAAGAATAAATTACACTTCCTCAAGGGCACAGGGCTGTAAGTGGGTCCTCTTGCCCTGAAGGTGCTGCAGGGACAAAGTGTGTGCACTGCAATGGCCACGCTCCCTCTCACGGGCAGGAGGTCAGAACATGATCCTGAGTGTGTACCTGACAAAAGGACCGTGTTGCTCCTTTCCTATCCCTCTTTCCCCTCTTCTCCCTGATAAGTCCGTCCCTGAATGTCCCTTTGGTGCAGCTTGAGTCTATTTACTGAAGTTGGGCTCGTTACAGCCGCTCCTGCACACCCCAGTTCTCTGCTCTGGTACAGCCTGTGCCGGCCCTGCCTCACATGCCAACAGTTCCATCTGCACCAGGGAGAGAAGGAATTACTCTGAGAAGCCAAGGTGGCAGAGGGGACACTGGGGCTTTCCTGGCATTTCCAAAGCAGAGGAGCTGACTGTAAATATTCATGATCACTCCAGCCTGATCAAAGTCAAGCGAGTCACCCCAGGCAGAGCACTGGCAATGAACCCTGCACTTAATTATTGGGATTTTGGAGTTCTGCAGGGACTGGCAGGATGCTGTGTCAGGACAGGATGTGCTGGGTGCTGGGAGGGAGAGAGGCAGGGAGAGGGAGTAGAAACCAGGGTCTCACATGTTGGCAACTCCTTGGCCTGACCCCAAGGAGAATTTTGCAAGTTATGCTCTTAAATGCAAAAAGTTTGGCTTAGATGCCTAAACGCAGATGTGTCCTGCCACTGGAGATGCACTGCAGCATGAGACATCCATAAAACCTGGCAAACTGGACATGGGACAAGCAGGACACTCACCATGGAAAGTGAAATCATTAGGCACCAGCTTTTGCTGACTCAGGTTTAGGAAATTTATCTGGAATCCATAAAGAGTTCTGCTTGCTTTAATGCTGCGTTGTTGTTGAATAAATTATTTACCAAAATTATCACCCTATACCCTCAGTTTTAGTCCAGTGCCTTGAACCGGAGCACTGACCAGTGTCACAAGATGCCTCCCATCACCTGGTACCAGCCCCCTGCCCCTACCCCTCTTCTCTCCACCATGAGCCCTTGCTATCCATCTTCAGCTGGCCTTTGCTTCTTGGGAATAACACCCCCATAGTTCTCAAATTCACAAGCACAGCTTGGATGGGGTGACTGGGACTCTGCTTATTCACTACTGTACGTGGATTTATTGCTTTGTAACACAGAGCAATAAATTACTGCTCTGCAATGTCCCTGGGGCTTGTCAGATTCTCCTGCCACCACTGTCCCCAGATAAGGCTCAGAGGGAAAACAGGACGAATTTACTTCACCAGAAATAAAGGTGCTGCTTCTGATTAGAAATTAAAATCATGGTTATAAAAGAAAGCTGTAAAATAAGAAACCATCATTCTCTGTCACTGTTAATGAGAGGAAGGTATCTTGTCTCTCCTGCCTTTGCTATTGCTCCCTCCTCTCACCCAGCCAGCTGGAGGGGTTGGGGGCCCTTAACTCCAGTGGGCAGAGATGGAGTCAGCAGAGATGCTCAGAAATGAAAGCATCAGTCCCTCTTTCTATGTTTGATAAACTGAAGGTTCATGTGGGGTTTTCCCCTTTCCTTGGAGCTGCTCAGCCAGGCTGAAGGCCCCACTCCTGCAGGGTCAAGCATTCGGTACCATGCACATCTGGCACTCTCTGAAGCCACTTCTTGCCCCTTTCTGTTCCTTTCAGACGTGGCCAGGCCTCCCCTGTCAGCCCCTTTCACCTCCTTCCTCCCTCGTGCTTGTCTCCTCAGTCTCCCACTTGTCTCTGTGTCCTCAGCCTGACCTGTGCTCAGAGATTAGTGGCCTCTCTGAGTTCAACTAAAAAGACTCATTTAGGAATTATTTAAATCTCTCTGAAGACAATCAAGTCCATTTAAATCCCAGCTCATTTTCTTAAGTCTGTTTTTCCTCAAATAAGCCCTCGAAGGAGGTATTAATATATCAAAAGGAAACCATTTAGCTCAGTATTTTTGCTTCTATAACTGGCCACTTTTCCCTCCTTGCCTCACCACTCCCCTCCCCTTCTACCAAAGCTCAGATCACTCACAGTCCAAAGGGAACTAAATATTTTTAACTCCTTCCATGCCCTCAATGCTCCTCTCTCAGGCAGGAATAAATCACTGGCTGAAGAGGCTCAACTATTCCTAATTCTGAATCAGGCACATGGTGTGACTCTTGGGGTGCCCTGTGCAGGGCCAGGAGCTGGATGATCCTTGTGGGTTCCTTCCAACTCAGGAGATTCCAGGTTCTATGATACTGTTTGCATCCTTCTAGAAATAGGCTGAAGTCACTGTGGGACCAGGTTTCATTTCAATCTCAGTCTCCACAGCTGAACTCCATGGAATGGAGTAACAGGAGATGCACCTGTGTAAGGAAAAGGAGGCTCCAGCAGAGCAATGGACGTTCAATTCAGAGAAAGATTACAATGCTCTGACAGCATTTCCCATCCTGGTAGGACATACCCTGGGAGAGTGGATTAAGAGCCATAAACAGCCCCCCTGTCCAATGTTGGTACTCTCCCAAATGGAATTTAGTGCTTCATGGGGGAAAGATTGAGTTATGAGATCCACCACACGAGGGTCTGGATGGGACACAGCTGCACCTCCATTTTATTTTCTCTGATCTCTGATTAGGAGTAAAACAGTGCAGCTCCCCAGCACTCAGTAATCATCAAACCTACACAAATGCTGAGTTCTGGGGTTTTTTGTCTCTCAAACCATTCATATTCCCATACTCAGGATTTATTCCACATCTTACTCAAAATGATCAGGACACATATTCTCCTGGAGTTGCAGGACGACTCCAGGAGCAAGTGGTTTAAGGGAAGAAAAGTGAAGTTCTGTAACACAATAAAATCACTCTGACACTTCTGGTGTGATCTTTGGTGGGTTTATAATTTTTTGCTTGCTTTTATAATTTTTCTCTTCCTTCTTCCTGAAATTTTGCTGAGATCTGTAACTGGTGCAGTCTCCAACAGTTTATCCAGAGCCTGTGGGAAGACAGCTGGAGTGGCTGCATGGGAGGAGTTGGGGGAGATCAGTGTGGCACAGGTAAATTACAGCAGGTTGTTCAGGAGCCAGTGGTAATTTCAACACCACTTCAACAAGAACAGCTCAGTCCACATTGAGCACAGCACCAAACATTATCAGTGCTACTTCTGCTTTTTGATTAATGAGCTAAATTTAAAACCCAAGTCTCTCTACTCTTCAGCTTTGGAAGCAACTTGGTAGCTACCTCCATTCTGCAAGAGTTTTATGTGCTGACCTCCTCCAAAGCCTGGGTTAACCTCTGTACCACGGCACTCACTAGTTTTGCCACCAGCAGATGACTTCTCAGTGTTACATGTTACCTGCTGCAAAGCCTGGGACACTCTCATCCTTCCTACCTGGTACCTTCAGGAATCACCTTACCCACAGTTGGGCTCCTTATCCCTCACTGTCATGCAAAGCCCACAGACACCACCAGAAAGTTCCCAGAGCTTTTTCCCCATCTTCTATCCAACATTCATTCCTGAGGGTGGCTGTAACCACCAGCTGCTGCAGCTGCCTCCCCTTGCTGTTCACCAGCACTTGTTCAGGCAAGGATTGTCTGAACAGATAATCCCATTTCTGGGCTGGGAGGTGGCAACAGGGTCACCAGTGAGCCTAATGAAACCCTTTTTTACCTCATCCACTTTTGCTGCAAGCAATGTAAGTGTCTGCTCCCTCTGGGGATCTAAGAAGAGCAGATCCAAGAGCTCTGGGACAAATCTCTTTGCATTAAATGCTGTGGGCAATGCCTTGTTTGTCTGCTCTTACAGGTGCTCAGACAAAAGGTCTAATCCTGTTCATCCCAGGAAGGTGGTGCAATGGTGACTGTATTATGTACAAACCTGTACCTCCCAGCTATGGAAACAGCCTGTTTTCCTTGGATAGCTCCAGCCTGGGAACAGCCCCTGAGGAGAAGGCCTCGCTGGGTTTGAGAGGTCACATCCCAGCATAAGTCACTAGTCCAGCACAGGGCACTTTTGGACCTGGTCAGCCAATCTCCTGGAACTCAGATCACAGGATATTTTGGATATGTCAGGTTGTGTCACTGGATCCACATATCTGGAGTGTGGTGGGGAAAAGGCACCGACAGTACTTTCATCACAGGAGCAGAAC